GAGTAAACAGTAAATTAGGAGGAGACAGAAGAGAAGGTAGAGGAGGAAGAGAAGACATTGGGAAGGAGGAGAGGAAGCTGACAGAGACTCAGCACTTCAAGTTGAATGTGTTACCAGGGTCTCAGGTTTAGTCTCTGTTTTTGCCAGACACTCTGGATAAAGTGTTTTATTATTCTGGCATTTCACATTCTTTCCCTGTGGGGGGAGAGAGCGCCCTGACATGATCTGTCTGTCCTACAGGGTATCTGTCCTGTTGCCGTTTCTTAGACGACAATCAGATCATTACGAGTTCAGGAGACACGACCTGGTGAGTGTTCACATGCGAGCTCAGCCTCTTACTTCCTCACCTTGGCCGTCCTAAAGCCCTTCGAGTCCTCTCTCTCTCACTGCATACTGCTGTTGAAGGGGAACTGCAGTCCCAATTTCTCAGATGATTTATTGAATCTCAGTAACAAAATAAATTCATTGACGGTATAGAAAAGCTTGACAAATTTTGAATTAAGCACAAAATCGTGAACTTTGTGAAAGTACTGGATAGTCGTCATGTCGTCACAAGCCCTGGTCTCTCCATGCGCAAGAGCGAGAGTTCCCATGAACTGCGGCGTGATGCGGCCCTTCCTGCTCGCTAGTCACTGTCAGGACTCGTGGCCTGTGATGTGTGAGCGAATAAGTACAGGTTGTGCAGCAGACATGTTCCAATGTGCTCTGCATGCAGAGTTAACAGGTACTGTAAGTAGTATTTACAGGCTACTTACAGGCAAAACTTTCTCGAAGTAGAGAGCAGTATTTCTGTTGGATTAAAAGGGGTGGATTCACAAGCCTGCCTGTTTACAATGTTATAAGGCCACTTCACCTCCCCAGCAGTTGAGTTGCCCTGTTCTGAAATGCAGAGTAGGGGCTGTGCATACCTGGAAATTAAGTCTGTTTTGTGATGTAAATTGGAGGCTTTTACAAGTTACTGTGTACATTTTAGTTTTATTGTGGGTTGAAATGCACTCATCCATGATGATTCTTTATAACCCCAAAATATAAAAGAAGGATTGCAGTTGCTCTTTAATGGACTGTAGTGTCCAGTGTGTCTGTATTAACCC